GGATCCATCACATTCTCCAGAACGGCAATGGAGAAGATTATCCATAACTTCTACTCAAATCTCTTCGATAGCCATGTCCACTTGCCGACATACCAAATTCCACAGGATGGATATGTCGTTCCCAACGTTCTCCCTTCCGAAATCCAAAACGCCATTTCGTCGGTAAAGAAACAAATAGCACCCGGCCCAGACAAGGTCAGACCTGAACACCTGAAGAACCTGCCGTCAGTACTCATCAATACATTGGCTTGGCTCTTCACTCGCTACCTGTCTGAATGCAAGGTTCCATCCCAATGGAAAACCAGCAGGACCGTACTACTGTTCAAGAAGGGAGACATTCATGACATTGGCAACTATCGCCCGATCTGCCTATTGTCTGTCATCTACAAGTTGTTCACTCGAGTCATCCTAAATAGGATTGGCAGAACACTAGATGAAGGACAACCATGAGAGCAAGCTGGGTTCCGCAAAGGATTCAGCACCATCGACCATATCCACACGATAACCAAGCTCATTGAGGTTTCTCAGGAGTTCAAGATGCCGCTCTGTTTAATGTTCATTGATTTAAAGAAGGCCTTTGATTCTGTTGAGACGGAAGCGGTCATTGAAGCCCTAGCCAATCAGGGCATTCAAGCCCAATACATCAGGATCCTCCGTGAGCTGTATTGCGGATTCACTACCAGGATCTCACCATTCTACAAAGAAGTGATCGTTGATGTCAAGAGAGGGGTTTCGGCAGGGTGATACCATTTCACCGAAACTCTTCAGTGCCACCCTCGAGAACATCATGCGACGACTGGAATGGGAAGGAATGGGAGTGAAGATAGATGGTCGGCAACTACACCACCTACGCTTTGCTGATGACATTGTTTTAATAACACCAAACATCAGCCAAGCGGCACATATGCTGGCCGACTTTGACCATGAGTGTGGAAATGTAGGACTACAGCTGAATTTTATGAAGACAATGTTTATGAGAAACAGCCTCGTTCCTGATGCCCCATTCGCTCTCAACGGAATGACCATCTCCAAATGCAACAGCTATGTGTACCTAGGTCGAGAGGTCAACATGACAAATGACCTGGCACCTGAGCTGCGCAGGAGGAAGAGAGCAGCTTTGAACGCTTTCAAGAACGTCGAAGAAATAGCCAAGAGGACGAAGAACCTCCGGCTCTGGGCACATCTCTTTGATTCCACTGTTCTTCCTGCATTAACATATGCCTCAGAGACCTGGGCCCTATGCAAACAAGATGAGAACGATATTCAGGTCTCCCAAAGAAGAATAGAAAGAGCTATGCTTGGAATATCACGTTTCACTCAAATGAGAGAAAGAATCCGGAGTTCTGACATTCGTCGACCATCAAGAATCAGGGACGCTGTCTCATTTGCCAAGGTGTCGAAAATCAGATGGGCTGGTCACGTAATGAGATCTAAAGACGACCGCTGGACTAGAGCTGTTACCGACTGGATTCCACGGGATGTCAAAAGACCGCGTGGCCGCCTACCTACCAGATGGTCAGACTTCTTCGTCAAGATCATGAACGATCGGTTTGAGGCCCTTCATGTTCCCGGAGCGAACAGATGCCATTGGGCTACACTAGCACGCGACAGGGACAAATGGAGACGTTACTGGCGCCCGCTCGAGCAAATCGACGACTAATGGGAAGTTAAGTTTAAGTTAAGTTAATGTTTCCCTCCTCTCACCCCCACTTCAGACTGCCTCTATGACAGGCACTTTTCTTCTTTCTTTCTCTCTCCCTCCCTCTCTCTCTCCTTTTGGGCATTTGGTACTGAGAGGTTATCATGTTTGTTCCTTTTCGGTGATCATTTCCAACTATCATTGTCATAGTGGTCACTTCTCTATCCTAACTGCCTTCATCTCCAGTATTTGAAGCAGACTTCCAACCATGGACCAATCCTCCTGGCCCTTGTTTATCACTTGATCACTTGACTTCCCGTTAATCATCGATTTGCTCAAGCGGGCTCCAGTAACATCTCCATTTGTCCCTGTCACGTATAGCCCAATGGCGTCTGTTTGTTCTAGGAACACGAAGAGCCTCAAACCGATCGTTCAGGATCTTGATGAAGAAGTCTGACCATCTGGTAGGTGGGCGGCCACGCGGTCTTTTGACATCCCGTGAAATTTAGTCGGTAACGGCTCTAGTCCAGCGGTCGTCTCCAAATCTCATTACGTGACCAACCCATCTGATTTTTGACACCTTGGCAAATGAGACAGTGTCCCTGATTCTTGATCGTCGACGGAGGTTGGAACTCCAGATTCTTTCTCTCATTTGAGTGAAACGTGATACTCCAAGCATAGCTCTTTCAATTCCTCTTTGGGAGACCCAAATAGCATTCTTGGTCTGTTTTCATAGGGCCCAGGTCTCTGAGGCGTATGTTAATGCAGGAAGAACAGTGAAATTGAAAAGATGTGCCTAGAGCCAGAGGTTCTTTGTCCTCTTAGCTATTTCTTCGACGCTCTTGAAGGCTTTCCAAGCTGCTCTCTTCCTCCTGCGCAACTTAGGTGCCAGGTCATTCATCATGTTGACTTCTCGACCTAGGTACACATAACTGTTGCATTCGGAGATGGTCATTCCATTGAGAGCGAATGGAGCATCAGGAATGAGGCTGTTTCTCATAAACATTGTCTTCATGAGATTCAGCTGGAGTCCGACCTTTCCACACTCACGGTCGAAGTCGGCCAGCATTTGTGCTGCTTGGCTAATGTTATTAGAACGATGTCATCAGCAAAGCGTAGGTGGTGTAGTTGCCGACCATCTATCTTCACTCCCATTCCTTCCCATTCCAGTCGTTGCATGATAATGCCTTGGGTATCAGTCTCGTACTATGTTTCTTTATATCCCAACAATGAGTGCAATTATTCTATGTCTGTCCCTCTCCTTCTGATTCATTTCACTCAGCATGATACTCTCCATGTACATCCATGTATAAGCAAATTTTGTGACTTCATTTTTCCTAGCAGCCATATAGTATTCCATTGTGTAGATATACCATAGTTCATAGTAGATATACCAGTGTGTAGATATACCATAGTTCACTCACCTATTCCCAGGCAATTGGTTTATTTCCAGATTCTGTCTATTGTGAATAGTGCTACAGAGCATATAAATGCAGATGACTTTTCCACATTGTGTTTTTGGGCCCCTGAGGTATATTCTCAAGCAATATACCCCCTGAGATACATTGCTGGGTCATGTGGAACATTGATTTCTAGTTTTTTTTTTTTTTAGAAATTCCTATGCTGTCTTCCAAAAAGACTGAACCAGTCGCATCCCTACCAGCAATGAATGAGAGTCCTCTTCTCCTCGCATCCACACCCGCACTGGTTGCTCTCGTTCTTTTTGATGTGTGCCAGCCTTTGTGATATGAGATGATATCTTATTATTTTGATTTGCATCCCCCTGATGATTAGTGGTGTAGAGTATTTTTCATGTGCCTTTTGGCCATTTGTATTTCTTATTTTTAGTCAGTTTCTGTTTATTTCTTCTCCTCAATTATTCCTTCTTCTCAAATCAATATCTGATGTGATGTGATCAGATATTTTTCTTTGTAAAGTTATACCAGTGCCTTATATATCATTGATATTAACCCCTTGCCAGATGTGTATTGGGTAAATAATTTTTCCCATATTTCACTCATATCCCCTGGTTCAAAATTTGCGACCTTTCCCTGGGCCTTTGGATCTCACCCAAAATTTCTCTCTCCCCTGTTCTTTGGTGGACCATTGAGAGGGAACAAATCTGTCTTAAGCATTGACAGAAGTGCCACCCTACTCAGAGCTGAGACACTGCCCCTTACCATACCTGTGACCTGACCTCCAATCCAGATGTGGCTCTTGTTAAGCAATTACACACAGAAGGTGTCAGTGGGTGCAAGAGCTGTGTATGGAGAGGAGATTGCCCTCGTAGCATGTGTGGCAGGTGAAATGCAAGGAAGGGTGAAAGAGAACAAGGGAACTTCAACACCCACCCACTCCCATTCCACCTACGCTCGCCTCTTCTGTGAGGTGTGGAGACTGACTCCACACACACCCCTTCCTCTGGGGTGTTTTCGCTTGCTGAGCACCCCACCTTTTCTTCCTTCCACTGTGCCAGTTCCTCTGAAGGCATCTCCCGGGCCTCATTCGTGTGTTAATTTCCCAATCTACAGGCAGGGTCCCACTTTTGTTGGGGGATAACATCCGGCGATGCTCAGGAGTTAGTCCTGGCTTTACACTCAGGAATCACCCTGGCAGTGCTTGGGTGACCATATGGGATGCCGGTGATCAAACCCAGGTTGGTCATATGCAAGAAAAATGCCCTACTAACTTTACTATTACTCCCGTCCCCGGATTCCCATATTAATCCAGCTGAAGTGACCCTAGATGGGGGCAGAAAAGGGACAAAGATATAAAACAAAGGGAAGATGGGCCATGCAGGACACAGGAAGTACCAAGATGGGCATAACAAAGCTTTCAAGAGTTGGATGCTTTGGGCCCTAGCAGGGAGAAGTTCAGATATCACTTCTCCTTCCCTTCTTCTCCTGCTCCTCCCTAGCACCGTGGACAGCTCCCTTTTGGCCTTAGGAATGCAGACATCTTCTAAAGGGAAAACAAGTCAAAGATTCTGAGCAAGGATGGGGACTCAGGCTCTTGTGGGTCTGGGAGCAGGTGCATACTAGTTCAATCCTTTGCTGCCTTTATTTTCTCATTTATGAGATGAGTATTCAATCCGACCTACCTCATGGGGATGTTCTTAGGACTGAAGGAGCTAATGCACAGAAAGTAATGAACAGGGCACACTCTATGGATTCTAGATAAAAGGGAGCAATTGTTGGGATCACTGTAAGCATGGTGTAGGACAACACCGAGTATATCAGAGCAGAAGGAAGACAACCACAACAGGAAAGGGCTAGATTGGATGGTGGCTGTATGACTCTGGCCCCATTACACATAGAAAAGTATAAACAGAAACAGAAATTCTGAAGTTCAAGAGACTCACTCAGATGAAGAGCGGAAACTGTGCCTAGTAGAACCAACAGTAAGAAGAGCTTCATCTTGGCTTTTCCTGCAGTGAAGGACAGTTTGTTGTACAGGCACAAGCACAGGCTCACTGTGAGTGGGGACTTGGGACTTGGGAGTGAGGTGGGGAGAGGAGGGGGGATCAGAAAAGCTAATGATGAGCCTAGCCCAGATCCTTGGTGCTCCCCACCCCAGGATCAGAGCAGGACAGCCCATGTTCCCTGTGGTCTTGGGTGTGACAAAAGAAATATTATTGAGACACACAAAAAAATCTCAGAACCGAGCTGCTCACTATAGCGATGCCTCCAGACTTTGTGCTAGGCCAATTTTATCAGGGTGCCTCAGGCAAGAGCAGGTATTATACCTCCACCTGCCCCCTAGGAATCCCAGTGGCTACCATCTTCCAGAACCCAGTGAAAAGCCCAGGTGCTTGGGAGTAGTGCCAGAAAACTCCAGGCCTCATGGGATATGAGATGGGCCTGCCCTTCCCATCCCCTCTCCCCCATGGGACTCTGGATGTCATGCCCATGAGCTGCCATCTATTTAAGCTCATCTATTTAAGCACTATTTAAGCTCATTGTCACAGTCTGTCACTGTCACTGTCATCCCGTTGTTCATCGATTTGCTCAAGCAGGCCCAGTAACATTGTGAAACTTGTTACTGTGTTTGACATATCGAATAAGCCACGGGGAGCTTGCCAGACTTTGCCATGTTGGCGAGATACTCTCGGTAGCTTGCTTGGCTCTCCGAGAGGGGCGGAGGAATCGAACTCGGATCAGCCATGTTGGCTGCGTGCAAGGCAAATGCCCTACCCACTGTGCTATCACTCCACTATTTAAGCTTGTTAATGGTCATAATCCAGAGACACACACAAAAAAATCTTGAAACCAAACAGTTCGCTGCAGATATTTCTCCAGACCCTAATTATCTAAAATTTTAGATTTCTAGGGATGTGTGGCTGCTCTCACGGTTGCATGACATCCTATGTTATTCATAGCAGGCAATACAAATACATTATCTAATATAAGCATCTGCCTGTTGGGCGGGTTTGAGTGGTGGTGGGAAGTTCAAAATAATGATGGTGATAGTAGTGGGACTAGTGTCAAAATATTGAATGTAATCCTTTATTTTGAACAACTATAAAAATTAAAAAATAAATTTAGAAAAATAAAGAAATGTTATCTCTATTTCCTCGGGTTATTTTTTTTTAATTTCCTCAGGTTTAATGGGACCCTCTGAGTCTCTGAAACAAGAGAGAATTGAAAGAGCAAAGATTCTTGCCCTTCCAAGGCACACACATGCCCTTCAGAATGTGAGTTCTTCCTGCAAGATCAGAGAGCCACCTACACCTACACTGTCTCCTTCACCTTCTGCCCCCTGCAGTCAGTCGGGCAGAGATTATTCTATTCTATTTTATTTTATTTTTTATTAGTGAAACACTACTAGGTACAGTTGTAGACTTACAAACTTTCGTGCTTGCCCAGGAGTGGCTGAGATTAGTACCAGGAATTTTGCTCCATGACTTGGAAGCCAGCCACATGTGCTAGAGGAAAAGGAAGCTCAGATAGAGAAGGGAGCACCAAATAAAGGGTGTTGGGAGGATCCTCCCAGGATGGGAGAAGCATGCTGAAAGTAGACTATAGACCAAACATGAATGCCACTCAATGCCTCTCTTGCAAGCCACAGGACCCAAAAGGAGAGAGAGAGAGAGAGAGAGAGAGAGAGAGAGAGAGAGAGAGAGAGAGAGAGAGAGAGCAAAAGGGAATGCCCTGCCACAGAGGCAGGGTGGGATGGGGGGACAGGGGGTGGGAGGGATGCTGGGACCCATGGTGGTGGAGACTGGGCACTGGTGGAGGGATGGGTACTTGATCATTGTAAAACTGAAACCCAAGCACAAAAATTTGTAAGTCTATAACTGTACCTCATGATGTTTCACTAATAAAAAAATAAAAATAAAAAATAAAAAAACTTTCGTGCTTGGCTTTCAGTTATACAATAATCGAGTACCCATCCCTCCACCAGTGCCCATTCTCCACCACCAATGATCCTAGTAGCTCTCTCACCCCCACACCCCATCCCTCCCACCCTATGACGCCTCTGTAGCAGGGCATTCCCTTTTGCTCATTCTTTCCTTTAGGGTGTTGTAGTTTGCAATAGAGGTTTTGAGTGGCCACCGTGTTCGGTCTATAGTCTACTTTCAACATGCATCTCGCATCCCGAGCAGGTCCTCCAAACATCCTTTACTTGGTGTTCCCTTCTCTATCTGAGCTGCCTTTTCCCCCAGCATGTGAGGCCAGCTTCCAAGCACTGGAGCAGGCCACCTGGTACTTATCTCAATTATTCTTGGGTGCTCAACTCCCATTCTGTTGCTTTATATTCCCCAGATGAGTGCAATCTTTCTATGTCTGTCCCTCTCTTTCTGGCTCATTTCACTTAGCATGATACTTTCCATGTAAGAATGACTTGTATGTAAATTTCGTTACTTCGTCTTTTCTAACAGCTGCATAGTATTTTGTTGTGTAGATGTACCAATGTACCAAAGTTTTTTTAACCAGTCATCTGTTCTCGGGCACTCGGAGTTTTTCCAAATTTTGGCTATTGTGAACAGTGCAGCAATGAACATAGAAGTGCAGATGTCATTTTAACTATACTTTTTTTGCCTCTCCGGGATATATTCCCAGGAGTGGTATTACTGGGTCAAATGGGAGCTCAATTTCTACGATTTGCTCGAGCGGGCCCAGTAACATCTCCATTGGAGATTTTGTTGTTACTGTGTTTGGCATATCAAATACATCACGGGTGGCTTGCCAGGCTCTGCCGTGTGGGCAAGATACTCTCGGTAGCTTGCTGGGCTCTTTGAGAGGGGTGGAAGAATTGAACTCAGGTCGGCCATGTTGGCTGCGTGCAAGGCAAATGTCCTACTGCTGTGCTATCGCTCCAGCCCAGATCATCCATACTGTTTTCCAAAAGGGCTGAACAAGTCGGCATTCCCACCAGCAGTGAAGGAAGGTCTCTTTCTCGCCACATCAGCGCCAACACCGGTTGCTTTTGTTCTTTTGGATGCGGGCCAGTCTCTGTGGTATGAGATCATATCTCATTGTTGTTTTGATCTGCATCTCCCTGATGATTAGTAATGTAGAGCATTTTCTCATGTGCCTTTTTGCCATTCAGATTTCTTCTTTGAGAAAGTTTCTGTTCATTTCGTCACCCCAGGGCAGAGATTATTTCAAACAAAATTTTATTTATTTATTTTAATTTTTTTAATCACTGTGAGATAGACCCTTACAAATCTGTTCATGATTAGGTTTCAGTCAAACAGTGTTCTGACACCCATCTCTCCACCAGTGTATCTCTCTCTCTCTTTCTCTCTCTCTCTCTCTCTCTCTCTCTCCCCCCACCCCTTTGGATATTGTGGTTTGCAATACAGATACTGAAAGGTTATCAGATATACCCATTTCCCTACTCTTAGCACTTAGTATTTTTTTTTCTTTTTTTTTTTTATTAGTGAAAAACCATGAGGTACAGTTATAGGCTTACAAATTTTGTGCTTGGGTTTCAGTTATACAATGATCAAGTCCCCATACCTCCACCAGTGCCCGTCATCCATCCCCATGGGTCCCAGCATCCCCCCCCCCTCATCCCCCCCCCCCCCGTCCCATCCTGCCTCTGTGGCAGGGTAATCCCCCTTGTTCTCTCTCTCTTCTTTTGGGTACTGTGTTTTGCAAGAGAGGCTTTGAGTGGCAATCATGTTTGGTCTATCGACTACTTTTAGCATGCTTCTCCCACACTGGGAGGGCCCTCACAACACCCTTCATTTGGTACTCTCTTCTCTATCTGAGCTTCCTTTTCACCTAGAGCCTGTGGCTGGCCTTCCATTCATGGAGCAAAATTCCTGGTACTAATCTCAGCCATTCCTGTGTGTCACTCTCACTTTTTGTTGCTTTATGTTCCCCAGATGAATGCAATCTTTCTGTGTCTATCCCGCTCTTTCTGACTCATTTCGCTTAACATGATACTTTCCATGTAGTACCACTTGTATGTAAATTTCATAACTTCATCTTTTCTAACAGCTACATAGTTCTCCATTGTGTAAATGTACCAAAGTTTCTTTAACCAGTCATCTGTTCTTGGGCACTCAGGTTTTTTCCAGATTCTGGCTATTGTAAAGAGTGCTGCAATGAACAAACAATTGCAGATGTCACTTTGACTATACCTTTTTGCCTCTCTGGGATATATTCCCAGGAGTGCTATAGCTGGGTCAAATGGCAGATCAAATTCTAATTTTTTGAGAGTCGTCCATACTGTTTTCCAAAAGGGTTGGACCAGCCGGCATTCCCACCAGCAGTGAAGGAGGGTCCCTTTCTCGCCACATCCGCGCCAGCACCGGTTGCTTTTGTTCTTGTGGATGTGGGCCAGTCTCTGTGGTGTGAAATGATACCTCATTGTGGTTTTGATCTGCATCTCTCTGATGATTAGTGATGTAGAGCATTTTCTCATGTGCCTTTTTGCCATTCGAATTTCTTCTTTGCGAAAGTTTCTGTTCATTTCCTCACCCCATTTTTTGATGGGGTTGGGTGATTTCTTCTTGTGGAGTTTAACCAGTACCTTGTATATCCTTGATATCAACCCCTTGTCGGATGTGTACGTGGTGAATATCCTTTCCCATTCTGTAGGCTGTCTTTGTATTTTGGTCACTGTTTCTTTGGAGGTGCAGAAGCTTCTTAGTTTAAGATAGTCCCATTTGTCTATCTCTGTTTTCACTTGCTCAGCCAGTGGCATGACATCTTTGAAGATACCATTAGCTTCAATATCATGGAGAGTTTTGCCGACTTTGTATTTTTATTTATTTATTTTAGGTTTTTGGGATCACACCCAGCATGCTCAGGAGTTACTCTTGGTTCTTCCCTCAGGAATTACTCCTGGTGATGCTCAGGGATGTAACCTGGGTCAGCTGCATGCAAAGCAAGTGCCTCCTCTGTACTCTGTACTCCTGTGTACTGTACTGTGTACTCCTGTGTACTCCTCTGTACTCTCT